TATGCTGCAATTGTCTGCTCTTTGTATTCTTTTGTTTTAAGGAATGCAATAAAGAATAATCAAATAATAAAAAAAAATTACGATGAGTGATTGTGGTGATGATTGAGCAAGCACAGCTTGCTGCAGTCATGGATACTTTGCAATATGCCTTTACCAGTCAGTACCTTTGTGAGTTTTTGGTCTTTTTAACTCTAAAATCCCTTCGGTTCTCTATTAATTCATCAATGTGATATCAACACATGCAGTGCATATTTTATGCTTTTGACAATATCGCGAAAAAAATATTCCAATTTCCAACATCAAACAACGCTGTTAAGTTTATATTCATATTGGCTTACATCACTCGCATCGTTATGCACTTAAATTGGCTGGTATTTCTCTTGCCTCATTTGTAATTTAAACTACGTTACCAAACCGAAACCAAACAATACCTTAAATACGGGGTTCTATCTGCATCTCATTTAATTACTTGTAAACATGATATATATAACTACAAACACTGGTTACCTAGACACTAAATAGACAATGATCTAACTTTGTTTGTATACAATATAAGGCCCTATTCATACTAATTATAAACGACTGACTGTATATCTTGTTGTAGTTTAGGTTTTCACGTTATCACCGTGGTTTAAATCTTAGTAGAATTTTCGTCACAATCCTTGTACTTATAAGAAGACACCACGATCACTAGAGATGGATAAAATAATACGATCTCTTGCAGAATACTTACACGAAGCTGTTATACACATATACACACTTACTGCGACAGCTGTATAGAAGAGAATGATCATCATCATCATCATTACAGCCCTTCACAAATCCACTGCTAAACATAAGCCTCCCTTGAGAATGCCACAAAACACCTGCATCCATCGACTTCCTGCATGTCTTATCAGGTCGTCACTCCATTTAGTGAGAGGACGCCCTACACTTCGTCTACCGGTACGAGGCCGCCACTCGAGAACCTTTTTCCCCCATCGGTTGTCAGTTCTTCGAGCTATATGGCCGGTCCATTGTCACTTCAGCTTACTAATCCGTAGGGCTATGTCGGTCACTCTGGTTATACTGCGGATATTCTCATTTCTAAGTTTATCACGCAGAGAAACTCCGAGTATAGCCCTCTCCATAGCTCGCTGAGAGCAACCTTGAGCTTCCTCATCCGGCCAGCAGTGAAGGACCACGTCTCAGTTCCATAGGTCATCACTGGCAACACGCATTGGTTGTACAGTCTCGTTTTCAAGTTTTGAGGTATACCTGACGAGAAGATGTGTCGTAGTTTCCCGAACGCTGCCCAGCCGAGTTGAATCCGTCGATTGACCTCTCGGTCGAAGTTGGACTTACCTAGTCGGACTATTTGTCCCAGGTAAACATACTCGTCAACAACTTCGAGCTTAGTGCTCCCAACAATTACCGGCATAGGTGTGACATGGACATTAAACATGATCTTTGTTTTGTCCATGTTCATCTTAAGACCTATCCGTTGGGCGACACTATGGAGGTCATTGAACATAGTGCTTAGCTCCTCCAGCGATTTTGCCATAAGGACTATATCGTCGGTAAATCGAAGGTGAGTGATGTACTCGCCATTGATGTAAATACCGTATCCTTTCCAGTCCAGTAGCGGCTCAGAAGGGAAATCGGTCTGTAGTTTTTCAAGAGAACGTTATCGCCTTTCTTGAAGAACAAGACCACCGCACTTCTGCTCCACGCCTCCGGAATAGCACCACCATGGAGGACGGAATTAAAGAGCTTCTGAAGGACTTCAAGTACCGGTTTTCCACCCGCTTTCAGAAGCTCCGCTGTAATTCCATCCTCGCCCGGGGACTTGCCGTTTTTAAGGTGCTGGAGAGCCATTCTAATCTCGCTCAAACTGACGTCCGGAATATCTTTGGAATAGTGTCGGATAAGACTCGCTCTTGGATCGTTACTTACACTTGCGTGTGCTTAAGTTTTTGTGTTCTTCTGCGGCGGGTCTTGCAGAACTTAGCTTCGACTCTCGTTTCCACGAGCTTATCATTCATATCATCCACTTCATTGCAGTTTTCCAGGCACTGAAAACGGTTTTGTAACTCGAGCTGAAAGGTTTCGGTACTTTGGACTAGAGCACGGAGCGTTGACTTCATTAGACGAGACCTCTCTAACTTAACGTTTAGGTTCAGTGTGCCTCTATCTAACCATTCGGTAATTGCTACCAGTTTTCACCTTTCACTCTCGCGATCACTGAGACATCACTGAACAGTTGTGGTCTAGTCGTCGTAATGAAGTCAGTCTCATTTTTTGTCGAACCGTCGGGGCTTGACCAGCCCACTTCCTGTGGGGCCGCTTCTGGAAGAAAGAGTTCATCATAAAGAGTCCCTGTTTCTCTATGAAGTCCAGCTGGCCCCTTGGGTTCCGTTGCCCTATTCCGAAGTTTTGCATTGAAGTCTCCCATTAACACCGTATGGTGGGTTTTGGAGGAATACATGGCTCTAGAGATATCCTCATACATTTCCTCCACCTCCTCATCGGGGTGTGCCGAGGTTGGTGCGTAAACCTGTATGACCTTTGGTTATTGTGAGTATAAGGTACGCAACCCTCGTCGACACTCTCCCAATCTTTACAACGTTGTTAACGAGAGACTTGTGGACGATAAATCCGACACCTCCTTGAGACAGATGGTCGCCCTTCCGGTGATATACCAAGTTGCCGGATTCGAGGATTACTGTGTCCTCCCCCTCTCTTCGGACCTCGGATAATCCTATAATATTCCAGCGCAACTTGTCTATCTCTTCTTCCAGCTCTAGGATCTTCTCGTCAGTCCTCAGGTTGCGTGCGTTATAAGTTAGCGTGCGTAGGTGGCAACCGAACCACCACCGGAGATTCTTAGCACACCCTGCCACGCCGTTACCATGGTCGCCACCGTAGCCAAAAATAGCGAGGCCGCCGGGGACTGGGGGCCGTCCTTTCGTAACTTTATTCATTGGGGAGTATATTGCCATAGTTGCCACGCTTGGCGAGCGGGTTGGCAACCGCAGTTTTTTTTGTTGTGATATTGCTTTTATCAGGAAGATGCTGCTGCCCATCTCCTGCCTGTTTCCCACTGTCACCTTTTATGACACCCCCGGGAAGATATGGGGTAGTGGATATTCTTAACCGCCACTACACAGCCCTCATAGGGGTCAGCAGCCTCGAGGGAAGCCAGTCGACCAAGCTGGTTAATAAATGTTGGTTGTCAGCACGTCTGTCAGTGGCTCTACCAAGTCCATCCAACGATCGTATGATCAATTTGATAGAATAGAATAGAATGGAATATTTTTTATTCAATATAGATTACAAGAATACTTATTGAAAGTCATTTACGTTTTTACTACTGGCGCGGAAAGAACCTCCGTCTTGGGAAGAACCATCGAGAAACCTAGTGGGTCTGTCCTCCACATCATAAAAATATGACGTAAATTATCTTTAATAGCAAATAGTACTAGAAAAAATAAAAGCATCTAAGTAAAGATTGAAAAAGTAAAATAAAACTTTACGACCAATATCTATAAATACGAAGGAACGGATCATACTGAAAGCCCTTTGTCATTCTGTTGCTGCAACATTGGAAGACAAAGACGTAATAATGACTCACCGGTCACCGTCGAGATTATTAGGCTTAATATTCAACATCCACACGTGCTACCAAATTGCACACGCTAACATTGGTTGATCGATAACATTTAATACTGAGAACGCTCTAAACTCTAATGTCAAATAAATTTTGTTTAAAACAAGCCTCCTTTATGAATTAAGGGCTGATTTTTCAATCATCCAGATAAAAGTTGTCCATTGAATAAATTATAACCTGACTAAAATCTATACAAATAAATAAAATTGAAGTGTCTCTTTGTAATGTCAAAATAACAGCATTTTACTAGTTGCATAATATGAAAGTATATATGGTACTTATAATAAAAACACATTTTTTTAAATTTTTGACTGTCTGTTTGTTCCGGCTAATCTCCGAAACTGCTAAATTACACGCGGGTGAAGTCGCGGGGAACAGCTAGTATACAATATATTTGAGAGATATATTATGTAGGCTTTCCTACATATTTTCTTCTTCTTCATCATCATCAGCCCGCAAAAGTCCACAGCTGTACTTGGGTAGTTCTTTTTTAGGTAGATATTTTACTTCTGAAAAAAAAAGCGGTGGTCACATAACTATTAGCGCCATCTATCGGAAGCCCGGACTTTCCGATGCTTCCCATAGTCGCCTCTTACGACACTCACGGGACAAAATTGGTTGAGGGATTTTCTTATGATGCCATTGCACTGTACTACACATGTTCTTAACAATTACAACTATCACCTCTGTCTTGTCTCCATTACGTCGATTTACCTATACATATATGCGTCAGTTAAGGTTACTCTTAATTTGGCACACTTAATCTACACAAATAAATAAAATTGAAGTGTCTGTTTGTAATATTAAAATTATAGCGTTTTACTAAATGGATATGAAAGTATAAACGGTACTTATAACAAAAATACACTTTTTAAAATTTTTGTCTGTCTGTCTGTCTCTTTGTTCCAGCTAATCTCCGAAACGGCTGGACCGATTTCGACGGGACTTTCACTGGCAGATAACTGATGTCATAAGGAGTAACTTAGGCTACTTTTATTTTAGAAAAATAATTAGGGCTCCAAGCAAAAAAAAATCCTAAATTACACGCGAGCGAAGTCGCGGGGAACAGCTTGTCTTCAATATATCGCAAATTTGGTCGCCGGGTCTAGGGCGTAGTTTCATTCTACATGACGATACCACCGAAATATTTTTAAACATTTAAATGTAAATATGATGTTAATATTAATACTTATAGTTACTATTATTATTTTAAACAAAACACCGGTTTTAATGTATCTATATTTGCAGTTAATTTCATCGTTTTGTGCATAAGCATAACTTATACAAATTATTTGCATTTTCATAATATTTATTAACGGCCCCTCACTGATTCTCAATCTTTTAATGAAAGTTAGTCTGATGAATCTTGTTTAGTTTCAAGCATGACGTAATTCCTGAATTGTACTTGTATAGGAATCATAAAGTATGCGATGACGTAATCCCTTTTATATGCTGCTGCGACCTGTAAGCCGATTCGAGAGGTTGAAATAGGGCACATCTCTTTAGGTTTTGCGCGGATAAATATTCTAGCCCCAACGCCAGGAGCTAAAAGAAATCTGGTTCGGGGATAGCAGTGCCAATGTGCTCCAAGTCTTGCCTCGTCATTCAAAAGACCGCAGCAATGAATGTAAATTGATCTAGGACACACATTTAACAGGCTAAAAGTAAAGAATAAATGTTTTTATTAAATAGTGTATTATTCATATATTTGTCTACGTAACACAATCTCCTTTTTAATTAAATTTATTAGAATGTGTGTACATAAATAATACATAATTTATTAAATAAAAAAATAGCACATGAATTTAGCTACGAATATCAAAAAGAAAAAAAATCTATCACTTCATTTCGTCCCTTGGGTTAGGAAGTTAGGATATGCCAGAAAAATGAAATGGTCATTGAATCTAAGACAAAGTCTTTTTTATTTCAACTTATCAAAAATTATTTAATAGGTTTGATTCTATATCGATACTAGCTGGTACCCGGCCCGTTGCTACCGCAGAAGAAATTATTGTGGAAACATCGTTTTAAATTTGGAAGAGGTATATTGTTTAATTAGGATTCATTGAATACGAATGTTATATCATAACTTGCAAATGAATTTGTCGGTACGATACGCGCCTCACCTACTCTAAGTTAATTATACAGAATGAGCTATTTAACGTTTGGAATTGCAACCATAGGTTATTTTGAGGTTGAAAGGTTTGATGACATTTCCGATGTGAAAAAAAGTTAGTTTTATGTTTGACATTTATGAAATGAATCGCTTTTCACTTGAACAAAGTTAGGACGTAAAAACTTATTTCCAAGGTGGTGAGTCTTCTACTCAAACTGTGAGAAATTAACGAAAAAATCTTGACAAAAAGGATGTGAAGCGAGTTCGTGAAACTGGATCGTTGTTGGATAAAACAACCCGTGTACGTACTCGTCCAGTGCGCTCAACCGAAAACATCGCTGCTGTTGCTCAGTGTGCGTGAACAACCATCAACATCAACTCGTCATCGTCCTCAAGATTTCATGCACTTTTTTGAGAAGATGTGCATCAAGATCCCGGTACGAATGCGTACGAAGTTCAATTAGTGCAAGAGCTGAAGCCGTATGAACATACGATGCGTTTTTAGTTTATTCAATGGGCCGAATACCGCTTGATCGAAGATGAGCATTTTTACCGAAAAATCATCTTTTCTACAGGGCTAGCATGGGCAGGAGACAATTTTATCCCCGGGGAAAGGAGAAAATGTTTATCCACCCTTCGAGCATGGGCATACCGGGATATAATATCCACAGTAGATAAAATGGGAGATAGACTTAGAATCAGATAGATTTTTTGTATGAATATAAACTAAAACCCACGTTAAATTAACTAGGATAGAATTGTCCCCTTCAAATGTCAAAAAAGCATACTTTTTTATCTTTCATCTGTCTCCATGCTATAGACGGGGGATATATTATGTCTACTCCTTATATCAAACGGTGATATATGTATTTCTCCCCGTTGCCGTGTTTTGGCATAGAAACAAGATAATTTTATTTCTTGTCAGTGGATATAAACAGGGGATAAAATTATTGTCCCCAACCCATGCTAGCCGTGCAGATGAAGCTCATTTCCACCTTGGAGGATACGTCAATAAGCAAAATTATCGTATCTGGGGTTCAGAAAATCCACACGTCATCCTGGAGAAACCAATGCATCCACAACGAGTGACTGTCTGGTGCGGATTTGGTCTGGTGGCATTATTTGGCCATTTTTCTTCGATAATGAGCACGGAAACGCCGTTACAGTGAATAGCAGTCGCTACTCCGCCATGCTAAGTGATTTTATGTTTCCCAAAATTGAAGAGGATAACATAGACGACATTCGGTTTCAACAGGACGACGGAACGTGCCACACAGCCAACGTAACAATCGATCTTTTGCGCACTGTTTTCAAAAATCGCATATTAATCAGATGCTGATGTCAATTCGCCACCTCGAAGCTGCGAGTTGACTCCGTTGGACTTTTTTGTGGGGAGCCGTTAAGGACAAGTGTAACGCTAACTATGCAGAAACGATTGACGGCGTGAAACATGAAATCGAAGTTGGCATTAACGAAATAGAGGCCTAATATGAAAATGTACTAAAAAATTAGACTGATCGATATTGTAAGGTGGCAGTCATTTGAATGATGTTGTCTTCCATTTCTAAATGAAAAGGTTCATCATCATCTTTCTAATAAACTGATAACTTTGAAAAAATATTCATTAGTTTCTTTTTATAGCTGATTCAAATTCCAAGTGCAAGCAATAAGTTGACAAAGTTTTACCGCAATCTGATGAACGGTATGGCTGCCTATATAATACGTAGATACAAACCAACATAATTTTTATATGCATATTAGAAAAAATGATGTTCTGTAAGAATAATTTAATACTCACGTTAATCTCTTAGTGACAGCAGTGTTATCCAATGTAAAATTCAATATATCAGGTGACCATGTTATGGTTATCGGGTGAATGGGTCTAGGCTGAGCGAGAGCATGTACGTGATTTTTATATTTTTTCACTTCTGAAGACTGCTTTTTGAATGGTAAGCATGCATCTTCGATATTAATGGTAATCTGTAAAGATAGTTACACAATTTAGGACAGTAAAACTAAAAGAAGGAAAGTTTCAGCCGTGTATAATATCCCACGCTGGGCACAGATCTCCACTCATTTCTGTGAGGGTCTTAGGGCAAAGAAATTTCTGCTGCGCTGCCTCAATGCGTATTGGCGGACTTCACATGTCTTTGATTTTTATTAATTTCTCAAACATGCAGGTTTCCTCACGATACACTTAAAATTATAATTATCAATTTCTTTGTTGCCGGAGGGAATAAGCTCGGGTTGTTATGTGCGTCATTTCTTCTCGTGGACGTCGCAAGAGGGGACTATAGGATGTATGCCAGAAAATCTTATGGCCTCCAATACATAGTAGTATATAAGTAGGGGCATGAAAGTCTAGCGGTGACTGTTATTGCGCCTAAGTCGCGTTGATTGGCTTATTGCGCATATGTCACGCTGATTGGCTCTCCAGTCGCATTCGTGCAATTCAATTCGTGCACGTCCCCTCCACGTTTCGTTCAGCGCTAGACATACGTGCCACGACTTGTAAATATCTCGCTTACCGCAGAAAACAGCGTTAAAAGTGCAAGACTCCTGTTGGTGCGATGGTCAATCCGCGGCCAAGCGCTAAGCTTGAAACCGCTATCTAAGGAACATCCAAGCATTATAAGTACCCCATAAAAATTTATCAAAATCGATCAAGTTATTTAGGAGAATAATTATGAATGAATTTTATATATAAACTTCATACGGACATTTTCTGGTTTAATTTTTTCATGTGTATTCCTGGAAATAACTTGTGGAAGGAACTTTTCGGATTTGCTACTCATTATTATTTGTAACCTTGAAATTAATATGTAATTTGATTTATAAAATAACTGTATGTGTAAAATACCGGCTGAAGAAATGATACTGAAAATGACACTAAAACATGTCATTTTTCATTTGTTATTTCGGGGTTTTGAGCATAGAGTATATAATAATCACTACGTTTAGTTGAGAAGCTCAGGTCATGCTATTTTTATGCCGACTACCAAAAAGGAGACGGTACTCAATTCGACTGTATTTTTTTTGTTTTATTTTTTATTATGTGTGTTACCTCATAACTTTTTACTGGGTGGATCGATTTCGATAATTCTTTTTTATTTGAAAGCTGGTACTTCTCGTGTAGTCCCATATGAATTTGATCAAGGTCAGACCAATAGTTTTTGAGTTATTCTTAAATAAGTGACTTATATTGAAGTCGGCTGTACAAAATTTTTAATTTTAAATTATTATTTATATTTTTGAACTTTGTAAATAATGTAAATAAATCTTTGGTCGAGAGATAAAAAACCGGCCAAGTGCGAGTCGGACTCGCGCACCGAGGGTTCCGAATTCCGAATAAATCCGTAGGTTAAATTTACTAAAAATATTTTTATTATATGATGTAACTAAAAATTTATGCGTTACGCAATTTTTCCTTTATCTGTGCTATAATACGTTGCTTCGTATCAAATTTTAAGATTCTGAGTTCACGGGAAGTACCCTGTAGGTTTTGATTCCCTTTTGGCATAATATTTGCGGCATAAACGGCTGTATCTTTTGATTGCGTTGGCTTAGAAGTTTCATTTTTTCACAGCTCCGAAGGACAGTAGACTTGAGTATTTGATATGAATTTCAGCTTGATACCTCCACGCGTTCCTGAGAAAAAGGGTCTTGAAAGACAGACAGACAGACAGACAGACGGACAACAAAGTGATCCTATAAGGGTTCCGTTTTTTCCTTTTGAGGTACGGAACCCTAAAAATGACAGGTTTAGAGGAAAACATTACACTTTTCTGCTGACTTCCAAAAAGGAGGCGGTACTCATTTCGACTGTACATTTTTTTTATGTGTGTTACCTCATAACTTTTTACTGGGTGAACCGATTTCGTAGATTATTTTTTATTTGAAAGCTGGTACTTCTCGTGTGGTCCCATATGAATTTGATCAAGGTCAGACCAATAGTTTTTGAGTTATTCTTAATAACTTATATTGAAGTCGGCTGTATAAATTTTTTAATTTTAAATAATTTTTAAAGAAATTATGAATGATGAATAAATCTACACCGCCATCCCTAGTTCAGTCACGAACTATCAAAGTTTGTTAATGGTTTCTTATGTTTATATTGAATCTAATTTTCACATGTGAAGATCCACAACCTTATATCATCGTGGGTGTCGTAAGAGACGGCAGAGGGGAATGAAATATGATATGGGCAGCAGCATCTTTCTGATTACATCTTAAAATAAAGCAAACTCGCCTGCCAAGCGTAGCAACTATGGCAATTATCCCCTGGACTTTTAATGGGTTGAATTAATGACATTGATATCTCGTATGGTTACAATGCATATCTCGCAAGAGATAAGCCCACAATTTTAACGCAGCAATGAGTAACGAATTTAGGTTTGAAATAAAATTTTACTTTTCCTGTGAGTTTGTGTATATTTTTGTTTCGTCCATACATCATAGACTGTCAAATGTTTTTGGTGTTCTTTCTAGTGTTTAGTTTTCATTATATATCACAAAAGAAATTATGACAGTCGGGTGGCAGGCGGGTCGTTACACGTTTGGGCCGTGAGGCATGACTGTAACTCCCGAGGGAGCGGAAGTCTTGCGCTTCCGCCCGGAGATCCGCTCCGATACTCGCACGACCACGACGCCCCGACTTATGCTCGCCACTTGAATAAAGAACAATTTAAGTATTATATTTTATGTTGGTAACTAAGGCCTGTTAACCATACTGTTGCTTGGTGGCCGGATTTCTCGGACCTTTTAATAGTCTTTACCTTGTAATAGCTCGTTTATGCCTAGGAATCCATGTGAGTAGTTAGTACACCCCCTACTTATTTCTACTAAAAAAACGTTAACCCCAAAATAGGATCTTCTCCGGTATCATGAAGGCAGTTTACTAGATACATTAAATTCATAAAGACAGGCATCCGGACCCGGAATAATTATTTGTAGGCCATACAAATACTTGTTCCGTGTGGGATTCAAACCCTCGACCCACAACGCCGCAACTCATTGCTAAGCCAGAGTCATTCCGGGTCCTCTTCCTTGATAACAGAGTATTTGTAGTCTTCTTTGATTGAAGCTAGGTGTATGTGCTAAGAGTTCACCGGATGGTAAGTTGTTACTATAGGCCTTGGAGATTGCAGTTCATAAGAGTTGAATTAAATAGCAGTAATCTATACATATAAGGTAAGTTTTACGTAAGTAAGTCTTACCAAACTTATTTATTTATAGGTAGGTATGTCGGTATTTATAAGGAAGCTTTACGAAAGAATCTATAAAAAGACTCACTACTTCCTCAATAAAATAAAATAATAGGTCTGTGAATTTTAAATCAGGGATTAAATTATTTTTCCTGATCGATCAATTATTATAAGTATTACTATTACATTGTTTGTTAAAATTGATACATTATTGGGACATCCTTTTAAGTAAATATATACCTATGCTAGGATGTCCTTTAATTAAATCATAACCAATTCAAATTGATTCATTGTATTACATAAACTTGTTGATTAAATGACAAATTGCACACACTACCTTACGTGATCAAATGACATTGTGTTCCTACACAGTATTCACGCCTAATCTCTAAGGAACTTTTTGGTTGGCGCTCGGACGTAGACTAAACAATGAGATCAGCTATCCTATTGTGGGCGAAGCGTAATTATTGAACAACGACATCGGTTCAGTCGATCCTGACGCTAGACGGGATCATATTCATGGCGATGTAAACAAAATTTCAGCTAAATCAGCTTTAAGTAATTGAGTTCATAGTATGCGTACATTGTGTACGAACTGTACTCGATAATTCATACTCCATAGAGTTCGAATTATTATTAAGAAATTGTACAAAATTTTCAAGGTTAAGTTAAAAAATGTATTTGAGGGGCCACAAGATTATGATGATGATGACCCATGCAGGTTTTCTCACGAAGATTTTCTTTATCAATGAGTAAGTGATAATAATTGGAAGTAGTTATACAAAAACGTTCCAAACCACAAGTCATTCAAAACTGAGTTAAATACACAGCGAAGATGTCGAAATAAGTAGATCTGTATATTTAACTAACTTTTGATTGTCACTCCCATGACTGACTTGACATTGGCAGAATTATTTTAAGAGAAGCCAAAAAGTAAAGAAGAAGAACTCATTTTTGAACGACTTGTGGTTGGGAATGTTTTTGTATTTTTTCAATTTCAGTTCAGTTCAGTTCAAAATGAAGGCAAACGCCTAATAGTATCAACAAAATCTATACTACTACCCAAATTTCTGGGTCTACTTTAATATTACCCCGATCAATGGCAGGAAACATTCTCTATATAGCCGCATGTCTTTAACTGCGATGTTTATGCCCAAGCGGATTCTTAGATACAAGTATGTAGAAATCATAAGCTGTTTTGTGCATTGTTATGGATTCGTACGTAACCTTGTGAACATTCATTACTTATACTGTTTCCAACAATTCAAGTCGAACTGTATACTGTTGGGAGTAGGGGCATTCAGTGGCGTAGTAAAGGGCGCGGGGGGGTCATGCCTTATGGCGGCAGAATTTAGGAGTTGTCATTTTGAGAGATAAAAGCAAACTCCTGTCTTAACTTTTGAATATCACCACTAAAAAAAAAACAACAAAAAATGTGTACATGTCTTACTGAATAAGTTGAGTTCTAAAAATAGGGATACCAATGCCAAGGGTAGGGATAAGTAATAATATTAAATGGATTTTTTTTTAATAGAATATGGGGATAAACGAGCACGCAGTCCACCTGATTGTAAGTGGTTCCAGTGACCCAAAGATATCTACATTTATAGCTAGCTAGCACTGCCACCACGGAGCCCTAAACGGCTCCGTGACGCAGTGGATTTGCAATCAGTTGTTGCGCTGAGGGCCGCGGGTTCGAATTCCGCACGGAACAAGTATTTGTATGGCCTACAAATAATTATTCCGGGTCTGGATGTTTGTCCTTGTGCAATTTATGTTTGTAAACTGCCTCCACGACACAGGAGAAAATCCTAGTATGGGGGTAATGTTTCTATAAAAAAAAAACATTTATCCTCAATAAAGAATCAAAATGCAGATGCGTTGTCACCCGTGAGGAGTAAGACGGAATGCCTCTTTTCCAGTAAAATGGGTCTCCAGTTCTCAACACTCTATACACGAAACACAGCAGTGTCAAGCTGCCATTTTACGCTGGTATTCTGTGAGAGGGTGTCCTTACCCGGTCGAGCCGATCCATTCGTGCTACAACTATACTACTAATATAGCTGCAGCATGGCTCTACCACGAAATACAGATATCTTAGATTTAATTTAAATCTACTGAAAACTGCAGCTTCATAACTCGTCTAACAGCCATGAGATTAGGAGTGTGATCGGCGAGTTTTTGTGTTCTTCTGCGGCGGGTCTTGCAAAACTTAGCTCCAACCGCATGGACAGTTTACACGAGCCACGGAATTAAAGGCTTTCTCATAGTCCAGATACGCCATACATAGTGGCAAATTGTATTCTTCGGACTTCTGTACAATTTACCGAGGGGTATGTATGTGGTCTATGGTGCTAAAGCCCTTTCGGAAACCGGCTTGTTCGGGAGGCTGGAAGTCGTAAATTCTGCGCGCGAGACGATTCGTAATGACTCTCTAAAACAGCACGTAGACGTGACTCAGAAGGGAAATCGGTCTGTAGGTCTTCAAGAGGGCGTTGTCACCTTTCTTGAATAATAAGACCAACGCACTTCTGCTCCACGCCTTCGGTGTAATGCCACCATGGAGGACGGAATTAAAGAGCTTCTGAAGGACTTCAAGTACCGGTTTTCCACCCGCTTTCAGAAGCTCCGCTGTAATTCCATCCTCGCCCGAGGACTTGCCGTTTTTAAAGTGCTGGGGAGCCATTCTAATCTCGCTC